GTAAACACTGCAATGTGTGCAAATGCAAATGCATTTAAAAAAAGTTTTCTTTTTAAAAAAAGCCACCTTTAAAGGCGCTATATAAAATAAAGTTTATTATTATTATTAATATTGATGATATTCTTCCTCCCAGGACTTGTAAAATTGTTGTTGTTTTTGTTGTTATCCTGTAAAGCACTTTGAGAAGCATACTGTCCAGCATATTGTATTTCATTGCACTTTAACAGATCGTCTTACAATCACTTGTTGTTAGAATATCCCCCAAGAGGATATAGAGGATATCCCCAAGAGGAATCCAGGTAACAGTGAAATGGGCGTACAGTCTGGGGAGATCGCCCATTTTCCATGTAAATAGTTTCCTGGTTCCACACCCCTAGGTGTCGGTCTCTCTCTCTCTCTCAGGCCTGCGCTCTTGGCGGGCTTGTCTTGTGTCTATCTCTCGTCTGGGTGCGGGAGTGCTGCTGGCCGGTGGTGACGGAGAAGAAATAAAGTGCAGTTTTTAACTCCACAGGTTTGAGTCTCTGTGTTCCTCCTCAACGAACCCAAATTCATTACATTGGTGTCAGAAGCGGGAGGATGGACACTGAACGGCCGATGATGTCGGACTCAGAGAAGCTCCGGTTCCCCCAGTAGCCGAGTGACCCCATAAAGTTTCTTTTGGGGGCGAGCAGCAGCCGCCAGGTGCCGGGACGACCCCTCAGCACTGCCAGTGGCCACAGCCCTTATCAGGGCTACCCCACGGTGATCTACTCAGCGGAAGGGGGGCCCTTTCCCAGGTCGCCTCAGGCCGTGTGGCAGGAAGGAGACGCCAGACCGGCGGGGTCCAGCCCGCCACCCCTGCTCCAGCCTGCGCCAGTGAGACCGAGCTGTTAGAATGGGGAGATCCCATGGCAAATGTTAGAGGCCCAGTTCCAAATGGAGGCATGGGCAAACGGCTGGTCTCAGGTGGAGATGGTGGGCCACCACACCACCGTCCTGGAGGGGAAGGCCTGCAAGGCGTTGCTGGATGTACCCGGGGACCAGTGGTACAACTACGCGGCATTGGCGTCAGCACTACGGAGGCATTTTGTCAGGAGAAGGGAGGCGCCGGGACTGCTGTGGGCAACATTGGTCCAACGCTGCTGCCTAGTGGGAGAGCCACTGGGTCCAGTCGCCGGTTGCAGCAAGTGGGTGGTTGCCTTGGCCTGGGCGTGAGGGACGGGGTCCCTCGAAAGCACATTAATATGTCGGG